TTCACAGAAGGATTTGTTTTTCGTTTTCTGTTCAATAATGAGGTGATATTTGGTCAGTTCATGCCCTAAAACTCCTTTAGAGTCTTTTAGAATTTGTTTTAAAAATGCAATTGATCGACATAGAGTATGCCAAAGAGACAGGGAGCGCAACTACGAGGAAAATTTCCGGTGTGTCTGCATCACCTGCTTTAACTCGGTTTGTCATTGCTTTTCTCGGAAACCAAACCTTCCTAAAATGAATTCCTCTATGGTTTTCACCTATAACATTGCTTTTTCGCTGTCTGAGAGTTAAATGTATTGTGATATCCATAAGAAAAAAAACACTACTGCATTGATGATGCAAATGTATTATTTTAATATAGAAAGTGTCGCTCAAAAGTGTTTTCTCTGTTGATCTAAAGACATTTTGTAAAGGGCTATATGAGAGAGCAAATTTAAGATAAGGCTTATTTAATAAAACAATAAATGAATGAATGAAAGTCTTTTGATGTCTATGCTATTCATGGGATACGGTAAGCTAATGCACTTTAGAGCATAATAATATATTTCACTTCACGTTCTTTTATATCGTATTCGGAGAATTCTCGTTTTTAAGAGAGACAATGAAAATGCGGCTGGTAAACAAAAGCTGACGCTGATTCGATTCCCATTTCGAGAGCGCCTACCAGTCCTTTCAAGCTTCAGAGCCAGTAGCTTTATAAACGCCTCACGCTTTCGTTATAAGGGAAGTGATGAAGTACTCTCCTGGGAAAATTAAAAGGCTGTGGCATCGTAAGTAGCTCTACCCTATAGTTCATCAGACACTGTGTCAACGAATTGAGAAATAGAATTTGAAACATCCTAGCAATATCCTAGCATTAATTCTGAAGAAAGCAGAGAAGGTTTGTATTCACACCGGATTTGAACTGTTTAAGTCGCATAAAAAAACCTATACCTCCTTAGGTTTACTGAGTTCACCTTTGTTGGAGTGGGGCTGCTATGACAACCAGTAGAGCTGTTTTAAGTGTTTTAGCACCACAAGAAAAATTCGGTTTTATGTTCAATTCCACCAATTACGGCAGTTAAGCAGGTTGTGTTGACAGATTCCTTTAGTATCAAGGGAGATAGCATACCCCTTTGCAACTTGCCAAATGGTTCTGCTTCAGTGTCATGAAAATTGACGGATTGGTGTTTTTTAGGATGTATAAATGTCTGGAAAAGAACTTGTCTCCTAAAGGAACACTTTTTTTCGCTGCTTAGTGAAATTCATCTCATTCAACAGACCTTTAGCAACAGCATGAGAGTAGTACTCGTTTGGTATCATTATAGCTATGTTGAGCTTACATTCTTTGACAGAGGAAAGCTTTCATCTTCGAAGGAGAACTTGCATTCTTAAATGTAGGCGCAATTGTTAGTACTACCATTCGAATGCTTGGGACCCTGACTCTTCTCAAAATTCTTACTTATTGCGGACTTTCTTAACACATTGTAACCACATTCATTGACTTCAGTAGATACAAAAGGGAGAGGAGAGATTTGAAAATATATGTCGGCTAAAACGCGTTTTTTGCTGTTGTTTATTTTACTTTTTCTTGCATACAGTCCTTGGCTCTCACCCTCTCTGGAAAAATATTGTGCTTTGCACTTTATAATTATGAAAAAGAACTGTTTTCGGACGAGTTTGTTCGCCCTACAACATCGAATGTTGCCGATGGACAACGTAATGGTTGTCACTAGTAAGGTGTATACTTGATGCTTTGCCCCATTTCCTCAGCATAGCGTAATGAACCGTGAGCACTATATTCAATGCACCTCGACAGAATAGGTATAGTGCCCCGCGATCAGCTATGGAAATTAATCAGCGTCGCGAATTTGTCAAGAAAATGCGGATAATTAAATTATTGCTTCATTCATGTGCAACCACAGCATTGCTTGTTTCCTTGCAACTCCAGAATGGAGTTCAAGAGAATAAGATTCTATCAAACGATGTCCGTACGCTTATAGGAACCAATGCTTTGTTAACCGTTTCCCGTTCCATTTGGTCTATCGCAACTTCGCTCTTTTCAGTTCTTTTCTTCAGTTTTGTGATTATTTAAGCTCAAAGTTTCTCCATATTTTTGATGATGTTGGAGTAAACAAAATTATCATAGTCATCCTAACTTCCACATGTTTGAAATTTTAAATAAAAGCCACCACAGGTTTCCTTCATTTAGGAAGTTATGGTTACTCGTCAAGTTACAGGTTCTATGTGAGAATAGTGGATTAAACAAAAAACGGAAGCGACCACTTATTTGTAAAGAGAAGGAAATCGATCCAGAAGATTAGTCTCCTTCCTCTGTTCTGCCGAATCCGCTTCCTTATATGCGTTATGTTTATTTTCACGAACGTGTTTTTTGTTATCATGAACGTTGATCCCACCAATATCCCATAATCAGGTCACTAGGAAGTGCTGCTGTAAATGAGAGGCGGTTCGTGAGTTTCTCTCCCAAAGAATCACCATCCTACTCAGTATAAGGTCGACAAGGTGCTCGTGCACTTGACATCGTCAAACCTAGTGAAAATAAGAAGGCATATTACTTTAACCCGATAAGTGTTTAAGGATACGGCAGAAAGGGCATGCATGGAGAGGTTGCTTGCAGCTAAATTTCGTCCACGTGCAAAATTAGTGTACGTCACGCTACAGGGGTTGGAGGTATTCGTTTCAACACAACTATAACCATAAACATTGACTCCTTTTAAACACCAAGTCGGAACTGTTCAGTTGCAAAGATGTAGCCTTTCATAGTGATCGTAGCATACGTTACAATATTAACCTACGAAGGTTAGAGTGGGATATTCTCTGTGGCTTGAAATATACCCTAGAAGGTTATCACTGTTGACATAATCGCCAAATCTCCACGATGGAACTAATGAAGTTGGCCATATTATCGTCAATGTGAGGTAACATCTAGCCAACGCCGCTGTTATGCAAGGTACCCTTCGATTAGACCATCGTAAACATAATTATAAGTAATGCCATTTAAAATATAATTTATGGTCATGTTGTGCACCTCGAGTTTTTTACGACAGTGCTGAGAAAGGTTGAAATGGCGAATGTCATGAAATAATGTCTGTTTCCGGAAAGCATGGAGCTGATATGCTGCATGGGATAGCATAAACGGTGGGTAACCACCTCCCACATACGACGTTGTTGTGAATTTGTGTACAAATGGAAGAGAAGAAAACGTTAATGAAAGATTAAAGGCACTGAGTAAAGCTATACAGATAAATAAATTCACTTAAAATACTTTGGTGATTTTCGAAATGATCGGCTTTCGCTCTCTAACTGAACAGTTATTGCATCAAAAAGGTACAGTGGAAATGTTCACGTCTTAACTCCGGTAGCCTCCAAGTTCACATTCCCCATGCTGGTGTAGTGGTTCAAAGTCGACATACACATACCATCTAAGCGAATTTCCATTTCGAAATCAATCACGAAGTTGTGGGGAGACATTGAGGGCGAATGTGGCGCAGTGGTAGGAGGCGCCCTGCAATGCACACGTGAAATCGATCTCTGCACATATCGCCCACCAAACCTTCCATCCTTTCGGGGTCCGCAAATTGGTACCAGACTCGTCTGGGAGGATAGCAGCACTAGCTCGATGCATCGTTAGACCACCGTGAGTCATTGCAAAGACCAGAAATGCATTCAATCACTTCCAAACGATGCCTAATGAAGTCGAATGCATGGCGCACCCTCAGAGATTGATCAACGCCGAGAGCTTCATTTTTTATTTTTTATCACAAACTTATGTCAGTCAGCTCTGATGAGTTCTCAGATCAGTCTAGTCGACAACTCCAACAACTACAAAGAGGACTATGTTTTTGAACGTTTACGGTGAAGGACTAAGACTTTTACAACAATAATTATCATCCATGCTACGCTCTGCCTGTTATTTACTGTTGGTAGGAGTAAAAGAGCGCCTTGATAATGAGGACCATGATAATAAGCGGAGTTCGGAAAAGTTTCCGACCAATAGATCGCATCCGTGTGGTTGCAAAGCCATCTAAAAGGCCTCGAGAGTAAGAAAGGTCGCTACACTGACATTTATCTGCTTAAAAAGTCTTACTATTCTTGCCATCTAAGAAGGCATTGATCATTTTTTGCCGACGGTTAATGTAAATCGGTTTTGAGATATTGCACTTAGTATTCAGTTGAGACGGAAGCGGCCATGAATTCATAGGTTATCAGGGCATCAGTACTTCGTACACAAGTTTTTTAAGCTGTATCAGCAGTTAAATATTTTTTGCTTTGTCAATAATATTACCCTCATTAAAGGCAGTTATGAACCAGATGGAATGAATGATAGTCGGCCTCGATACCAAAGGGAAAATATCGGTTTTCTTCTGACTCTACGATCAGACGATATTTTTCAAAAATGTTTTCATTCCTTATGCTTCAATCACATCATCAACACTGATGCATTTGAGAGCTCCAACCATTTGTATCTGATCAAGGGATGAACAATGAATAATCAGCTTCAAAGTAGGGCTTTACGAAGGAAGCGATTTGCCAAAATTAAAGCATTAAGAATGCGGTAAGGGAGTCAAGAAACACCATGCTCAATAAACTAGTTCTTGACAGCATGTTCATTCCTGCTTTAACGTTTATTTCAGAAACCTGATGATATAAAAACAGGAGAGATATTCCCTTTAACGCTAGTAAATAGCGTAATTCGGAGTTGTGACTTATGTGGAGGACCGTGGTTGCTAGCAAATATGCCTTTCAGTTCCCACAAAATTTAAAGTATTTGACTTAAATTGGGTTCACCTTGTAAACACAAGCTGATGTAGTTTTTATAATGTCTAATTTGTCCCACCGAACTGAAGATTTGGCCAATGTTAGATCAAGCTACCAAATCAAGCATCCGTGAATTTCGCCGTCGTTTCTATAACTTCTCGTGAAGTCCAGTTTTTTTTTCGCTTTTCTATATAGATACATATTAAATGTTCCAGGTCACTGTATCTCTTCGGATGTGCGCATGACGGGCTTCCGATTGGGTTGTGGCGGCAAGAAAGAAAAGCTCTCGCCGCCCGGGGCGAAGCCAACGGCTTTCGTTGATGAGGTGAGTGGGATAAATCGCAACTCTTTTCCTTAACAGAGCCCTTAGCTCAAGACTTGCTGTCTTTATGAATGATCTCACTGCATAACTTCTAACGATCAGACTAGAACCTCAAGACAAAGCAAATGGATCATTCAATAGATCGCTAAATCAAATAAACCTAAAATAGAAACGGCGGAGAGCAAAGCATGGGATGTGATTATGGCGAAGTTTGTACATCCATTTAGTTTTCCTTTAACAAATTCGTGACAATACTCACAATTATTTAACAACTAGCCATAATTATTCGTTGACCAAAGTATTTGAGGAATTGCTCACTTAAAAAAGTATAGAAGAGACGCTGTCTTAACGCTAAGATGTATATATATATCTATATATATGGCGCATGTAGCACAGTGGTCGGAGGAGCCCTGCTGTACATGCTGTACACAAGGGATCGATTCTCGCGTGCCTGACCCACCAAGCCTTACATCCCTCCAGAGTCGGCAAATTGGTACCAGACTTGTCTGGCAGGATAGCAGCACTGGCTCGATACATCTTAGGCCACCGCGAGTCATTGTAAAGACCAGATATGCATTCAGTCACCTTCGAACGATCGTGAACTCGAATGCATGCGCATCTCTCCGCAATAGATTAACGACAAGAGATTTATCCTTTATTTTTTAATATACATATTTCTTTACTTCATCCGTCTTCACATCTACTGTGCGTATCCCAGCACTTCTTACATCCAATTCCTTTCCTCGCACCCATTGTCCACTGAGATCTTCCAACTTTAAAGTGTGGCTTCGGATGCTGCTTGAGGATTTTCATTTCATTTTCAATATCGTAGAATGCTGGTCGAGCAATCATCCGTGGAGTGCTGAGATAGCCGGACTGGAGCGTTCCCAACTGGATTTCAGAGAGTGACGTTTTCCTAGACCTGTCCGATGCCGATTTCCCGACCACGGAGGGATGAGAGGCTTGGTTGGCCTGTAGCGGAACCTTACTACCACCGTACTCGTGATGGCGGATATCACTACCACTGTGCTAGCCGTCCCATATTACATATATTCCTTTATATTCCCGTCGAGCAAGAGCGAGGTGTTACTTTATTCATTATTCAAGAACAAGCTGACGTTTCGGCGAATTTCGTCTTCCTCAGAGCCGCTTTCAACAAGAATATAAGGAATTATTTGATTAATACCGAGGTTAATAGAAAGCTGGTCGTGGGAATTGTATATGCATATATATTCGTTTATAGCTTCTTTAAAACATCATTTCAATGTCAAAACTTTTACGATATAAAGTTTACTGTACGTTTACATGCCATCTTCGCATACGTATGCATTGGACTCAATGCATGCCGTGTTAGAACTCTCACTAATTATGAACAGCTGCGTTAATTCACAAACGAATGCGAACATGAATTCATGAAATTAAAATTTGAAAGGTTGAGATTAATTAAACTAGACACTCATTTCAATGAATTGAGAAACAAACAAGCCATCCAACTGCATTCAGAAGTTAAGTTCACCAGAATTGGTGGTGAAAATTTTGGATTGTTTTAAATCTACTTTTTTGTTTAGAACAGTTACGATGGCCATAGTGACTTGTGCTGGTCAGTTTTTGTAATCCAAAATAATTGAATAATTGGGAAATTTGCTTTGTCCCATTTGAAGAGTCAGTTCATCGATCACTAAATGTTTGAATTGAAACGTAGCAACCTTAAAGACTTCAGAGATCCTGAAAAAATCCACCGTTGTTGTAGCATCTGTCTTCCCACTTTCACTTATGCTTTTAATCTGAGCTTCTCGTGAAGAAGTTTGATTATCGGGCTGGTAGTGTTCCTGTTGTGCGCTTTAAATCCTGCAGTCCCAGTCGCTAGCTACATCTTCTCAAGGGCTGCTGTTAAAATGTGGGTAGCCTCCAACTGCCTTCAGAAAACGTGGCGTATATAGCGACGTATAGAATCTTTGATCAGTGTTGAAAAACTGAACAACGAATTTCCTCTCTTACTTTCACTCTACAGGATTCTCCTTTCTCGATATCATGTAGCCTTCATGTTTCCGAGGCGCACTTTAAACAAGAAAGAACTATGGAGTCGAGAAGTGTAGTTTTCGTTCTCATGATGCTTCTTCTTTTGTGCTGACAAAGACGCTCATTTCTGTGTCCTGAATCTGAGAGCAAAATGGTCCGCTGGGCTAAAGCGAAACCATTTCGTACTGGTTACATTTTCATTAGGCTCGAATAAAAAAATGATCTTTCAACACTCCTGAGACGAGCATTCATTTTTACTCATTTCTGATTTTGCTGAACGGATGTTTAGTGAAGAAGAATAGAAGAAAAATGCCCATCATAATTTCAGGTCTCGGCGCCCCGTGGTTTCGGCATTCGCAGCTATCTGCACAACTTCTATCTGTCACCCACCACTGAAGATATGGAGCAGGGTGGAGCATGGTAAGTTGATGATTTCCAGACGTTCTCCAGTCGAGGAAATTTATCGACAAAGTAATTTTAATGTTACTCGCCAGGTATTTGCTCCCTCCACCATCTGCTCATAGACGTGGCCTGTTCATCTGCCGTATATGCACAGTAATCGGTCTAATGCTTCTGATTGGAGGAGCTATATCGATCATTATCGGCTACACATGGCCACATGAAGGAATCGAACAGAGCATATACAAGATTATAATTTATGAGGTATGTTCACAAAATGTAAGATTCTTTTTGTGAGATATATCCCGGCGCACTGTTCATCAGAACGGAATCATAACAGCAATGACTTTTTTATTTTAGCATTCTCGGAGGAAATGCAGCTTCTCTTGCTCTACTATTTCAAAAATGAACATTTTCTTTACTTATGATCTTTCTTCACTTTTCCTACTTGAATATCTACAGCGAAAAACGAATATGGTAGTGACGCTCATGAATAATTAACGAGGAAGAGTGTGCTCTTCAACGACTTTTGTATGTGGTAGCACAAATCAGTCCATTAGTTAACGTCTCCGACTTTACCCCTTGACTTAAAATATATTTGGTGCTATAACAATTTAGTCCAAGTTTCAATGGTGTGGGGTCAAAGTTTTGCGAACACCTCAGCACCATTGTGGTTGTATTTCACATAATCCTCTGCCACGAAAAATTGCACTAGGTAGTGAGTAGAAGGTCAACATTATAACAATTTATTTTGTTGATTTAAGCTTTTGGTGTGAATTTTAACTTTGGAATTTGGTCTATCCTTATTGTATTTGATAAGGGAAAATGTGCAAAAATGGATTAGAAAAGATCTGCAGTGGATTTTTTCGTTAAATTTGTAGAATTTACGTTGAATTCATGAAGAGGGAACATAGTTGTTTCCTAATGCACATTTGATTTAACGCAGTGAACAAGTCGAACTACAAAGTGAGAATCGCAGAACTCGTCCTCTAGCGACTTCCCATATGATATGACGTCATTGCCTCCACCAGCGCGAAAATCATCTCATTTCAAAAGATCATTTAAACCATTTGAAAATTAGGAATTTGACTGAGGAAAGAAAATGATTTGCAGTTTTTATTATTAGTAATATAAGTTCGCTTCCCAACGGTTTACCGTCTCATCATGGCTGAAGGGTGTTCCTCGCTGTCGTACTGCGATAGACAGAGGGCGATTTCTTCACTAGCAAGGCCTACCAAGCTGAGAACGAGCCCAGCGCTCTCATCAGGAAACCCAGCTAAGAGTAAATCAATACCAGGATTCACCACCGTCCTGACATCACGCTAGTCACATGGTGGATAGTCCTCCTTTGATTCACAAGGGCGCCGACTGCGTATGGTGATGATGACCGAGGGCAGGCTTTGGCTACGTTGACTTCAGGACTCCAGAGAACCACAACGACTAAACCAGTAAAACTCTGAAAAAGTGGAAATTATGCTGGAGCCGGCACAATTAGTGAAAACAGGTCATCGAAGTATCCAAGTAAGTAGTATAAATTCAAAACCCGTATGAAATTAAGAAGATTGAAGAGATTTTAAGCGATAATCGCTAATAATAGTCATAAACAACCAGTCTACTTCTAAATTTTAGCGTAGAACAAGTATTTAACAAAACAGAGAGCAAAAGATTCCATTGTTTTTAGGACGAAGATGGAGGCTATTATGTTCCACAGGACAAATTAAGAGAAATGCTTCGTGATCCAATGAAACTGTGGAAGACTGCCGGTGAGAACCTTATCCGATACGGAATCAAATAAACGGTTCCTATTGTTCCACATCAACTTCTGCATTCGATTGTGGGATACGTACGTGTTTGCTCAGTTTTTCTCCTTTTCCCTTCAGCGGCATATTCCACCCTTTAATCCTTCTCCATAGATGTGGTGAGGAAGCTCAATGATTATTATTATGGTGAGCAGTCTCAATTCATTTATGTTCCATATAGATTTTATTTTTTCGTCCCGATAGCTTTCACTGTAGTGGCATTCGTTCCCAAAAACAACCAGTGTGAGACGCTTTCGATTTTTACCCGAGGCAAGTGACGAACTTTCCTGATCCCATCCTATTTATTGACTTACTCTATGCAGACGTCATAGGATTTTTTTAATTTTATACAACCCGTCTCCACGTCCACTACTGTGCGGATCCCAGCACTTGTCACATTCGATTTGTTTCCTCGCATCTTACATCTACGAAGGTTTTCCAACTTTTATATGTGGCTTCATCTGCTGCTTGAGGATTTCCATTTCATCTTCGGAATGTTGTATAGTGCTGGTCAAGTCGATTCTCCCTGAAGTCCTGAGATTGCTGGGCTGGAGCGTTCCCAATTAGATGGCAGAAAATGATTCTTTCCCGGACGAGTCCAGCACCAAGCTCCCGACCCCTGGGGAATGGGAGGATCGGTGAACCTGGGCGGGATCGATTCAGCTTGTGATGATCGGCACCAATACCACTGTGCTCTCCACAACTTTTAGGATATGATAGATAGGACATAGCACATATATTCATAGTACATACATGCTAGTATAATATTTCCAAGAGCTGATAGGTTAGTCACATCGAGAAATGTCTAAAATACAGAATGGTAATTTCGTGCAGAATGAAGGAAATAAAACGCCAAATCGTGGTTGTGATATTCTGTAGCTCATGAATGATCTTCCCGTATTGTTCAGAGACGCTCTAGTTGCTCACTTTTCATGAACGCTTTTGTCTCAAATGAATCCATGGCATTCTCAAACACGATTAAGGCGGCATTCTCTCAGTACTTCAATGGCCCTTGTTGTTTCATGGTTACTGATGTTACGTAGATATCACCTACTTTGCAACACAGCCTTGCTAGTTCTGAGCTGGTTGGAAAACCTGACTTCTGACAGGCAACATACGAAGAGGTAAGCCACTATGTTGATGAGTACTGACGGTGCGCTCTTCAAACATCCGAGTTCAATACCGTTTCAACCACCTATTCCTACAGTTTTTCAATGACCAAGTCCCGCATCAGATATAAGAAGAGAAAACAGTTGGGGCGTAATATCCATGTTTTCTGACCTAGAGAAATGTAGCTGTGGGTATAAATGGGATCACAGCAGAATTCGTGAGTAGTCATCTTCACTGACTTTCTGTACCCACTGACAATTCCTTCAGAGGTCTGAGAAAGGTCACCATATTCTTCAACTGGCGGTTTTGGCCGGCAAGTATTGTGGCTACTCTTTCCAACCTCTGCAGCTTGAGCTATTACTGCTAGTCTCTTCCTATGATCTCCTTTCATTACTACCCTGTTGAGCGTTGCAAGTTCATGCATCGGTTAGTGAATTTATACGATCCTACGTTGGCGCATATGGTTCTTCCCGAAGAATACTGTCTCCGTGGTGATTGACGAACTCTCCGTTTCTTAGCACCATTGTGAAAACGTTGCATAAGAATGTCGTATTCGTCAAACAGGTTGTCGATTCTTAATTTATGGTTCTAACATCTCGAATTTTGCTATGGTACTTTTCATTCCAATACTTCTATGTTCAACATCGAATAGAGGGCGTAAGAGTTACCATGAATTGCTAACCATGGTAAGCTCAGACAGCCGCTCAGGCTATTCGTTTCATTCGTCCTGATGTGATGTTATTCAGACCTTGTCATGCATCTATCTTAACATCGAAGTCGCCAAACATTTGTACGTGTGATATTTTCTGTAGAAGCCTTTCATATCCATAGAGAATACCTTCACCTCGCTTTCATCATAACATGGTAGATATAAGTGATAAGAGGAATCCATAGAATAAGGGTATAAAAATAATAGGAAGGAATCTCCACAGCAAAAGATGGGAGGACAAATAAACTAATCATACAAAAATTGGGGGCTAAAAGACAATAATATCAAAATAATGCCAAGCTGAATAAATGGATATCGAAAAAGACAACGAACCGTATTCAGGATTTTGTGTCTTCGCATCTGGTGCTCTCCTTCTCGCTGTATCACTAATGGTTCCAACGTTGGCCGCATGTATCGGATCGAAACGACTTTCCGGATTCATAAGTGAGGACACTTCACCTAACGAACCACCGGTACGCATCTATCCTCAGGAGAAGCCATCCGTGTCACATACAAGGTGTGTTACATTTCCTCTTGAAATAAACCAAATTCTTTAATATTCTGTTGAATGAACAACGGACCTGATCTTCCTCACAGAGGAAACTCTCATTCTATTCGGACAAGACCCTGAACCACAAGTCCTCGAATATCCGAGATCGTTGGGTCATGCAACTTGTATGCTTAACAGCATTCTAGATATGTAACAACATTATGAAGTATTCGTATGTGTAGTTCTTACTAGATGATTTTTACAAAACCACAATTTCTACAAAAACTCAGCGTGAACCTTATAAAATAGCGACGTAATCAACTATACATATGAAGTCACTAGTAATTTTTAGATAGATTTTCACTCTCTAGAACAGTCGAATTTCAGCGGTCCTATACCTGTGCTGGAGGAGATCAGCAAGGTTCAACCAGGTGAAAAAGTTGCTCCATCAGGACTTCTCGACTCTGACAAGGCACCACTTGTGCATTGACAAATGAGTGGATCATTTTATGTGAGCGAATACCTCTCATTCTTTGATGAATTAGTAGCGCGTACCTGAATGCCACCATATCCTGCTGATTAGCGAGACTTTCCCATTTTCTAGTTGTTCTAGAGGAAATATATAGTTACCTCCTTTGCAATGTTTTAAGTCACGTAAATCCTAAGTTGGTGAGAAATGCTCTGGAGAAAACATTAAGGTCTTAAAGACATCCACCTCACTGCATTAAATATTGAATTGAAGGGTAAACTTCAAGTCTATAGATATGCTAACGAAATCGATACCGTACGCATCGGCTTCAACAAAAGCATACTCTGAAGTAGTTGCGCCTTTCATCAGCAATCATCTCTCGACTGGTAGTAAATTTAGAGACCAAAGGACATAAGGATACGAGCCTTCCTTATTACTCCAAAACTCTAACATTTTGGAATTCTGCATGGCAATTCTTCGCCTCTGATACTTTTTTTCCTGTGCCAAAGTTTGTATTTTAAACATCGAAACGATTGAACATTCGGAATTCCACGAAACAGAATAGAGTAACGGCCTTGTCTATATTCTTTCCGTTTGAAACCACCGTACCTGCATTAAAAGCGTTCTGATTCTCGACCTTCTAAGGTTTTTAAACTTTCTTTTTCTGAAAAGTTGAACCATAGACGAATTCGGACGTAGGGTAACCCTTTAATGAAACCAAAACCATATGAACTCCTACACCAATATAACAGCTTCTCTTCTGCTCTACCAAAATGAATTCTAACAATTAACTCTGACAGGTTATTCTTCAAACGGTCTAGATATCGAGAAGGTGTAAGCAGCGTAAGGATGGTCGCAATATGTTAATATACCGGCGTTTCTCTTAAGTAAAGCATTGGATTGTAGTACGTCCACAATATTAAAAACATCGAATATCCGTAATCACAAAGATTTTCATTTCAGTCTTAATCTATCCTATCCTACTGGTCCGTGCTGTCGATCTAAAGCTGTCCTGATAGTGTGTTAGAGCGGCGGGGGCCCGCCCCCCCCCNTCAAAAGCTGTCCTGATAGTGTGTTAGAGCGGCGGGCCCCCGCCTATCCCGTCGTCACACCCTTCAATTACAATGGTCATTATCTCTGTGAAAGTGATGTAATTAATTTCTTCTTTATCCTCATCCACGTCATATTCCTGTTCCTGCTGTACAGTGCATAGCAAATCTAGCTACAGCTGGGTCCATAGCGATGCCGGCGATCGATGACGAAGACTCGACATGCTCTGCCTAGATTAAATGCCGTTTCGGGTTAGAATTAGTCGCACTGTATTGCGCTGCACTACTGCTGTTCCCATTTACTACATTCACCCCAGCCCCGCCTAGACAACCCGAACGGTAGGTCGAAGGGTCGTCATTGGTAGCCGGCAATCACCCTACTACCAATAATACTACTTCCGTGCACTAGGTAGTGCCGAGTGCGCATGAACCGCCCCTCTCGACTAACCGACAGCTCGAGCTGATGAGGCTGCTTCAATCCTCCTATGTACCTTACATCAGCAGCCAATTGTTGTGCACCATGAATGTGGCTTTGTCAGCTCACGACAGACAATAAATGTTTCATTGTGTGCTATAATGCTTGAATTTTATATCAACAGTATCGTTGGTGAGATTTAAAGATACGAAGATGAGAGTTAGTTCGCTTCCAACATAAGCATACTAAAGAAGCATTACAGTTAACATCCAAGAAACGGTTAGGAACATTCTTAAGACATAAATACCGGACGACTTCATGAGGAGCTTTATGCATAACATTATGAGGAAGTAGATCAATCAAAAGAGAAGCATCAGAAGAAATTGAATTGCAACAGAACTGATCGTTGAATACTCCTCATTTCACTTTCAAATGAAAGAAAAAACATATCCATTATTCGACAGTATAAATTTTGTAAAGGAAATGTCTGAACGAAATATATTTATAATTAACTTACAACATAAACGAAATATATAACACCAGACTGTAGTATTCGAGTAAAGAATTAGCACATATAACAAGTAAAACATTACTACTACATAAGAAGTAACATTTCTTCTTAATAGTAAGGAAAACACTTCGATCAAGAGCAAAAGCTAAGCATGTACAAAAAAACTCTAAACCTCAAGAAAAAGAAATGAAGGATAAGGTGCACCCAAGTTTGAAGGGAAATCAAGCCTGTTTTGAACAAACCTCTTTAAAAACTTCCTATAAAATACTAAAACGTAATAAGAGGTTCAGTAAACAGGAGACAACAAATAACACGTACGCATGGGATGAAATATCGTGACGAAATAAGAAAGCTTTACAACGTTCTTACCTGATGTGGCGGAAGTCGACGAGGTGGATTTTCTGACGGCATCGGTGGGAGAAACTGCATGAGCACCTTAACATGATTTGAGACCCGAGCATCATTCTCCTTAGCAATGAGAACTCGTCGTCCGATCTGATGACCAAGTGTTTCCCGTGGTAACAGCTCAGCTCGCTTGCGTCTGCAATGTTTCCAAAAACTTGCGGCCTAAACATCTTCCAAAAAAGATCCTGTTTGTTGCATTCAATTTTTAAAATGTTACTGCTATGTGCACAATCTTAAAAGCTCTAGGTTGTACTCATTTCTAAAAATGGGACTAAAAAAATCGGAATTTGATATTGCTTTCCTATAGAAGATCAACAAACAAGTAAATAAGTTCGCGAACAAGGAACTGTTCCGTAGCGAAAACATGAAACAGAATGGGTCAAACTGCTCAAAATTTTGTTCAATACAGTACATTTTCACGTAACCTTTACTCTATGTTCCGGATAATCGAACGTTGAAATGAGTAACTGAGAATCATACCTCATTCGATAGTAAAGAGTCTCATATGAGTACTTCTTCCATAAGTCGTATACATAAATTGCAAAGTTTTGACGCATTGTTCTCGGTTTACTACTTCAACATAAGTCAAAAAGTATCAAGCACTTTTTCTTCACAGTTATGCCAATCTTCGAGATCTTCAATTTTTCGAGAATGCTTACTTATTAGAGAAGGAAGACTATTTAATAAACAAGGATTCACAAATTCAATACCCAGTATAAGCCATACCCGTTGGTGTCATTCTTAATAATCACCAGAAATGACAAAGAACATGCATTGTGCGCCTACCTAGATCCAGCAAAAATATAATTATAGCGAGGTAATCAACTTCGCCCCACGCACCTAAATAGCGGTCCAGCGAGAAAAACGAACTGGCCTCCAGGCTGCCACCGCCAAACCGAATCCCACTTGCCTGGCTTCGGGGATAGCATAGCAGAAGCGGAGGGACTGGGAGCAGCAGCAGCAATCGCGACAGCCCCTACCTGCTGCAACGAATCGGACTATGGCATTCATTTATTGTAATTCTAATTATCAAAACGTCGAATAATGTCAAGAAAACAATACCATGTCAAAATTGTTAGCAAGCATAGAATCATCACTACAAGTTCTAAGTAGACAGACGTGTGTTAAAACTCATAAGGTGTTACGTCAACGAAGGTGTACACCGGCCAACCGGAAAGAAAAGCGCACCTATAGTTTTAGTCATGTAAGGCGACAAAAAATGGATGAATTAAAAAAACATCAGGTAATGGGCTAGTTAAAGACAGCTGCTTTTTGTTGTTAGCGACTCGTATACATGCTGTAAATGCTGTAAACAGTTATCTCTGACGTAAACTATACAAAATGACCAGTGCTCGATTTTCTTGGTCATGAGATCAGACTGTAGTTTTGACCATTAAGAAAGCATAACTAGTCGCGAATACACATGTAAAGCATGACCTCATTAACATTCATGACATAATCCTTTATATTCTTGTCGACAAAACACGAGGTGTTACTCTACTCTTTATTGCCATGAAACTGACGTTTCGGCGGATTTCGCCTTCCTCAAAGTCTGGAAAGGTTAGGTTCACTGCAATCTGGCCAGCCAAGATGGCTCAAATTGTCAACTTGACCTTTCCAGGCTTTGAGGAAGGCGAAATCCATCAGCTTGGTGGTGAATAAAGAATAAAATAACATCTCGCGCTCGCTCGATAAGAATATAGAGTTATTTGATTAATGCCGAGGTTAACAGAAAGTCAGTCGTGGGAATTACTCATGATATACTTGCGACTACTGCAAAACAAAGAGCACGAATAAACTCACGATCAAAACTGCATGCAAATCGCCCTTCAGTTAGCATCTCGAGTGCAGATATGAACTGAGGCTGGCTGATCAGAAATTGCAATTATAAAAACCAAATACGAATGCAATGCGTGTGGTTTGTAACAGCAGAATTTTTACGAAAACCAAGGACACTTCTTCCAACTCATAATTATTCAAACTCAAATCACACTGTGCTTAACTGTCCTAGTTACTTCAGGCAATGGAGGTGTCTTGGAGTACCTATGTGTTATAATAACTAATGCACTCGTGAAATTAACTGTTGAAGCAGAACCAAGAGGACAACAAAGGTCAACAACAGATACAACTCTTATGAAACCCACCAATTTCTCACGTTTCGCACCTGGCTCCGAGCTCACTGTCGTACTAGCTGGCCGTTTCAGCGCTTGCTGCTGCTGTTGATGGTGTTGAGCCTAAAAAAACAGAGAATGGACTTCTTTTATAACGAAGGAATCAGTGAGAATCCTATACGAAAAAAGAAGTTGAGAACTAATGTTTCTTGACGTTAACAGGATAAAAAGGACAAGGCTCTTGGCGTTGATAAATCACTGCAAGGTGCGCTATGCATTCGACTTCACTAAGCAACGTTTGGAGGTGATTGGATGCACACAAGGTCTTTAAAACGACTTTCAGTGGGCAATCGATGTGTCGAGCAAGTACTGCTATCCTCTCAAACAGGTCTGGTACCAATTTTCCGATCCCGGATAGATGGAAGGCCTGGTGGGCCAGGGGCTCGGGATCGATCCTGTGTACGTGTCGCAGAGCGACTCATACCACTGCGCCACACGACCCTTTTTTACTTCTTAATGCTATGGCATTAATAATATAAAGAAATACATGCTCAAATGTGTTCACTGACTGCTTGTAAGGTATAATTTTGAGCAAATGTTGATGGTAGAGTTCTGTTGTGAACTTGACAAAGCTGTGTTGCGGCCGATAAAACAGCATTACCAGCCTCCAAAGAATAACCTAAAAAATAAGCTCGATCAACAAGGGCAATTGACCAGATTTAAATGGACTAATTATTATCGCCGAGATTTACCGAAGGCCGGGCTTTAGAGCCTAAAAGCGGTTGTTAACAGTAAAGCAAACAACCAATAAGTGAACGGGGAATTATAAAGATCTTTAAATACCGTTTTAAAAAGAAGATTATAAAGAATAAGTTGACAAATGAATAATTATAAATCGTTCTCCTTCTTTTACTTAAAAGGGTCAATCATGGCTAAATCTCTCGAAATATTAACAAATTCGAGTGGTTCTTACTCTTAATGGTTTCATACTCCATGATTTTAGCCACGATCATACACTGGAATTCATCAACTGAAACGCTGCACGTACTAGTCAAAAACAACTTACAGTAGTTTTTCACTGCAGTGAGACTAATCTCATGCGTTGGTCTTCGGGCTGCGAAACGAAGATTCAACAAAGACTTCGGACAAACTCTACGAGCTACTTTGTACATCAATGAAGGCCGCATTGTAAATGGTGCTTTATACTGCTGTAAAGTAGATGAAAACAGATGCATTAATAGACAAAACTATACAGCCTCTGTTGAGGTAATGAATTTTATCCATGGATATGACAAAAATATGATCAAAACAAGGCTAAAGCCGTCTAGGGCATTCAGATAAATTGTAAATGAATAACACACCTTTGCCTTTGAACTGCTAGTGGACGGACCGCAAGAACCTGCAGCAGCCAACAAGAGAGGGTGGTTAGATGGTAAACGAGCTATCACGTGCCCAGCTCCTAATGGTCGTTTCTAGAACATATTTTGGGACGAATTTGTAATAGGTGGAGAATAAACAGCCCATAGCACTAATGAGATTAACAAAATATCGAGATGATTCCCTCAGAATTTCTATGAGGTATACGTACTCGGTCAGTATTAGAATTTTTACGATATGCCAAATTCCAGAAAATAACGAAAAACAGTTCTCTAATGAAAAATCGGACCTATTTTCAATTCCCTTGCGTGGGTAACCTAGATTTCTCATCTGAAAGCAATTCTTTAAAGCGAAGTCTGCTAGGACAGTAAATTATCATTGTACCCCATTGTCTTAAAAATCCCAACAGTTTACCGCTTCATCGTAGCTAGGAGGTACTCCTGGGTGTCGGGTCGCGATGTACAGCGAGGCGATTCATCGCACAGCAGAACCTCTTAAGCTGAGAAGGAGTCCGGCGTTTCCATCAGGAAACCTAGCTTCGTAAACCAAGACCAGGATCCACCACCGTCCTGGTATCGAAGTCGCATGATGGCAAAACACCTTCTGATCCACAAGATCCGCCACTGTCTGTGGTGGTGACGACCTGGGGCAGACTTTGGCCCGGTTGTCCTCAGGAGTCCAGGGAATCGCAACGACTAAACCAGCAAACCTCCGAAGAATGGAAGTTATGCTGGGACCCACACAACCAGAGAAAACAAGTCAACCAAGTATCTTAAAACTAGTGGTACGACAAAGTTTATCAAAGACAACAATGCTGATCTGCAGTCTAGTGGTAAAAAAATAAGAACCTTTATATAATAATTTTCTCACCTGAGCTGCTGAGGAACTCTTATTGATTGCGAGTGGGTTCACATTATTTAATATGGGTTTGGCATTTTCTTGAGTACCTGCAGCAGTTTCATCATTTGCCGAAGAATTCATATCGAATCCATCTACAACAACTTAATTTCATACTAAAATTGTAATTAAAAAGTTGAAACCTCCACTTTTATGGCAAAACAATAGATGGACGCTAAGAAAGTAATGAAGACTGATAGCATAACTTGGTCATATCAGTAAAATTTTCCTTATAGGAGCATAAATATGTCTTCAGATATCCTCATGGATCTCATTTCTCACCATATTCATGACGTTCCTTCAACCCTCCATATTTTTTCCAGTAAATCCAACACTCTTGACAGAGACGTAGCTGTAAATTCGTCGGTCCCCATGCGTGCCACAAACTGCTGTCCGTAACCTAAAGGTGGCTAGGAAATAAAATATGCGTTCATAAAATGGAGAGCATTTCAACCAGAACCTTGCAACCTTCGCATGGGTCACATCCGCGTACTGGTGGACCAGTTGTTTTTCCGTGATTTGGAATATAAACCTGAACAGTTGAGCTACAAAAATACACTTTGCCTAGACATACAATAAGGTAAAAGAGACCTGTTTAAGCTTGCTTTCATGTTCTGCGTTTTTTTTCTTCTTTTGCTCGACATATCTATTCGTTGTTTTCCACATATAGTAATACTCCACTATGTCTCGCGCTGACTTCCAAGGGAGCTGAATATGCAAAACAATGACCACAGGTTTCCCAAATTTTATCTCCCTTCAAGTGCAGGGTGATGGAAGCTAAAGTGAGACGAATAAACTCACAAAATCAACTCGTACATCAGAGAAATCTTTCCCATATTTCTCAAGCGCGTCTTCGAATAGATTTGCTTCAGCGGCTGACCACTCTTCTATCTGATCTCTGTAACGAAAATAAACAGCGATATTCATGCTGGAATACAAATAACACACCTGCACAATATTGGGCCACCTAAACTGACAGTGTTGTGACCAGTTGCCTTATCCGCTTCCAAAGGATAATAGTTTTTGTTTGGCGGAGGAACAAGATACTTGACAGCCTATAGAATTCAATATCAGGAATTGTCGATGTAAAACAGTGACATCCGAAAACCCTATATTCCAAAAAGATTCATAATGTAACCTGGCCAATATCGTATCCAGCTTGATGAAGTAGTGCCATAGCGTGTAAAAGAGTAACATCACGTGAAGCTGCAGCAGCCGTCATATGAAGAGAAGGCAATTTCGTGGATGAGGAAGTGTCAAGAGCGCGTGAAAACGTTCCAACGGCTCTTAACACAGTTAAAGAAACAATTGTTCAAATGGGCCTTGTTATCAACAAATGAATGACGTAGCAGACAAAACTAAAAGGATAACGCGTAGGGATCTAACTAATCCCTGGGAAAAGCACCATACACTCGATGTCATTTAGTATACCTAGAGGTGACTGAATGCATATTTGGTCCAAATGATAACCTGTGGTGTTCTATGGATGTATCACATCAGTGATTCTACACTCTCAGATGTCTGAAACAAACTGCCAACTCCAGAAGGATGGCAATCTTAGTGAGGCCTGGGCAGAGCGATCGAATGAAAATGTGTGTGTGCATTGCAGAGTACTTCTAACCAACGCACTACACGAACCTCACTGATAGAAATACTATCTGAAAAAATCTTATCTCACCTAGCAACGATAAGAAACTGGTCCATATCTCTATCAGTAAGCGAGTGATGAGGATGATAAACTAGAACTTCTCGCTCTGTCTCTACTGGTGCATGACATGACGTTCGTCCTTCGCTACCACTACGTTCCTCATCATCTATGAACAGCTCGTCTCTAAAAATCGATATTTTCCAGTGTAGAACACAAAAGTGAACAACGTTTTCACTACTAAGATAACATTATACCATTCTTTCTCAATTGCTTCCTAGTATATGGCTTTATTCTCCCAACGGTCTACCGCCCTCATCGTGGCTGAGAGGTATTCCTGCGGTGTCCGGCTGCGATGTACAGCGAGGGGATTCATCCCCCCGACAAGGTTTCCCAAGCTGAGAAGAAGTCCGGCGTTTCCATCACGAAGTTCAGCTAAGAGTAAACCAACACCAGGATACACCACCGCTCTGATATCAAACTAGTCCCATGGTGGTAAATCTCCCACTGATCCACAAGGGCTGCGACCGCCTGTGATGGTGACGACCTGTGGCAGACTTTGGGCAGGTTGTCCTCGGGACTCCAGAGAACCACAATGGCTAAACCAGCAAATCTCCGGAGGACGGAAATAATGCTGGGGCCCGCAGAACCAGTGAAGACGCCCAATCCAAAATCCAAGTATGTGGTTTTATTATGTTTAGCACGTTTGCAGCACGCACAACAGCGGAATTAAATTATTATTCTATCCCTATTCTGGTGAATATGGATGACTTCATATATTAGCTGGTGATTCGAACAGTTACGTCCTGGGCCCCCAAGTAGATGGCAAGAGGTTGAACGTGAAGTAAAGGCGATGATTCGCAATACTTGTGAATGATGTTTAGTATTTGTATTATACCATGAGTTAGTGTCCAAATGCAGCCCAGCAGTATTATACGGTGCACTGTAAAATAAAGAAGGATAAAGCTCTCGGTGTCAATCAATTCCTGAGGGATGCGCCATCCATTCGACTTCATTAAGGATCGTTTGGAGGTGACTGAATGCATATCTGGCCCTTACAACGACTCGCGATGACCTATCTATGTATCGAGCCAGTGCTGCTATCTTCCCATACAAGTCCGTTACCAGTTTGCCGACCCCAGAGACATAGAGGGCATGGTGAGCCTGGAGCGCGGGGCACGGGGATCGTTCCCATGCGTATTTCAGGGCGCCTGCGACCACTGCCCCACATGCGCCCTTGTTTACCACAAACATTTAAAGTCCATGAAGATTCCAACCTAATTATCTTTAGCTTTACAAATTGTTGCGCTCTTGGTGAGTGCTAAGCGCATAAACTATAAAATTAAGAGTACCCGTCTCCGTTCTCCTTTCTATCATCGCACTCCATCGATTCGGGTACTTCAGCCTGGTACTTCTCACCCACACGAATGGCCCCCTTATCGGCGAGTAATGTCATTTGGCAAGGATCGTACACCAGAGAATAAAAGAACTTGTCCTAAACATAAAAAAAACAAAAGTGGATTAACCGCAAGGAAAAATAAATGTCGTTCAAAGCTATACCTCGCCTTCATAACTTGAGACGGTTTCAACTTCACTAAGCAACGTAACCTGGCATTTACCACGAATAAGAGTGGCTGGGAGTGTTTCGATTCGCCGAGACAAGAAAAGTTCTCTTTGCCTAAAAGTTATTCAGAAAATAATTAGTTTAACTTTTCACTTCTTTCAAATCTACTATTGACTTATGAGCATTAAGGAACGTCTCCTGACCGCAGACTAATTCGCCGCCCAGAAAATAGATATGTGCCAACTCTCAGTTCCATAACAAAGAGATAAAAGCTTAATCTACAATCCTGGTATCAAAATCCACTAAACTGGAACAAGAGCACAGAAAGCTGGGACAAAAAGATAGCATTGGTTGTTTTCAAATCTCGCAGGTATTCATACTAAGTTTAGTAATGGCCGGAATCGCATACAAGGATGAGAAGCCTTTGGCCGACAATACTAAGCATCGCATTCGGCTTACACTGACTTCTCAAGATGTGAAGTCTCTCAACAAAGTGTGCGTATAGTTGACCGAAGGTTCCAAGATTGTGAACCTTGTTTGTTGTAAGAGGTCCAATTCGGTCCCCGAGAAAAGTACTCCGTATTACAGTTTAATCTATACTTGATACCTCATTCTATGTCGCATTGAATCACTGAGTCTCTCGACACCCAACGGTAGCCCGGCCGATCCCCATTCAAAACGGTTATCAAGTTGTTCGTCCTCATCTCTCGCGCTACTTTTGTGACCTGCAGCAGGGCTATGTGAGCACTAGGAAATATCCTTGTAAAGTAAATGTAAACCTTCCTACTCACCAACCGCTAAGATCTCGTCTATCTTCACGTCGGCTCCGTTCGCCACAGTATGACCTGCAGATCCAAATTTTTCGGGTTTCGGCTTATCTTCCTCGTAATCTAAACCTTAATAAGTTTATTAGATGATGGAAGTGACGACATGGAGTCGACTTAAGAGTGGTAGCTAATAAAATGCCACCAACACTCATCAAATCTTCGTTCAGCTTGATCAGCAATCTTCAGAAGAGCCGACGAGATATCCCGACGACGATAGTAGAGGGTGACACGAGCTTCAACCTGTCCAGATGAAGTCTGTAAAGACCGTTCGTAGGCACAGGAACTTAGGGACGCCAAGAGAAAGCCATTCATATCTAGTATAGTCCGGAGCATAAGTTTTATATTAGTTCTTCTTTGATTTGTACCTTATTTAAGTCTTCTATTCTACGAATCTGATATGGAGCGTTTTCCGGTGTTTCGAAGTATACGTAATCTAAAAGAAAACGACAATAAGTAACTGACAATGTTTCCTCCTAATCTAAATGAAACCTTAACCTAACCTTAACCTAAAAACCTAAATTTACCAAGCCTTGGCCTAAAGGCCTAAATGTTAAGGCTACAGTTGATTACTACAAAGACAAGGTACGAACTCACCTCCAACTCTAAACATGTTTTGAGTATGTGACATACTTGCATAAGAAAAATATAGACGCTGGCTTAACAAACTCTCTGCAACCAATCCATAGTTGAAATCGATTTGATACTTAAAGTGTTAAGGTCACAGATACACATGAAGAATTTAAAACAACAGAGGAAGAAAACTACGGAAGCAGGATAGACAGCTTCGGATATGAGTCCAATGAAACTCAGACTTTAAGCGCTAATAGTTAGCCGTTACGTCTCTTAGACCTTAGGAGTTAAATAAGGATTCTGTCCTTAAAAACTGTGAGATTCCAGATAGATGATTCTTAAAAACAATAGCATAGACCTTAGGAGTTAAATAAGGATTCTGTCCTTAAAAACTGTGAGATTCCAGATAGATGATTCTTAAAAACAATAGCATACCCAAACCACCGAATTCGGGATAATTAGCATATTAACTTGTTAGTAATGAAGCGTACAAAGACCTTCAAATTCGCATTAGAGCACGATATATTCCTTCCTTGGTAGAGACTTCGTTTGATACTTCTACTTCATAAAGAGAAAATCTAACATTGAAAGTTGTAAGAATTCCCGATCTAGACTGGTTTTCACTATGTGAACTTCATGGTAATAGGTTATGAACCGCAAACTTCTCCCAGATGATGGACACACCACAGTGAAATACCACGGATAGCTCCAGAAAGAATTGATCGGAGAGGATTCCGACGACCATCAGTATTTGGTGAATCGAATACGTCTCATCCTCTTTCTTCGGCTCACATTTTTAAACCTCTACAGCTTTTTCATCACTGTTTCCGATTGGGCGTAGATCGATATTCAGTCGATTTTTTAACATTTACGCTATTAGGGCGATAAAATGAAGTCTCCATAGCAAGTTTGTCACGTTCTAAACTTCTCAAGTCCTCTAGCTTCGAAAAACTATCCATTGCTATCGAAACAGAGCATGTTTAAATATGTGAGGCATGAGAAGTTCAAGTTGGCACCAATGCGGTTGGATTGTTGATTATCGTAATATACTTACTCACTTGGACATTTAGACAGTCTTCCCACCCCCAGCGCAATCCCCATCTCTTCGGGCCCCCGCCAGCCCAGCTACCGTGGTTCTCCCGAGTCCTGAAGTCAGCCTAGCCAAAGTCTGCCCCAGGTCGTCACCACTACAGGCAGTCGCTGCCCCCCGTGGATCTGAGGGAGATTTGCAGCATGCGACTACTTTGATGTCAGGACGTTGGTGGATTTTTCCCTCTCAAACCTGAGAGGTCTGCTGGGAGGATGAATCCCCCCGTTGTACATCGCAGCCCGACATCCAGGAACACCTTCCAGCCACAATGAGGCGGTAAACCGTTAGGAGGGATCGTAGTAACAAATAGTAATTACTGACATATATACCCCTAAAGCGAACGGAGGGAAGTTTTTTCCATGACTTTTCCATGTTTTCGTTCGTTAAATATGTCCTGATAGCAGTATGCTCAATACCGGAAGAGTTACAACAAGTCAATTAGGCGTTGGCCTTATGTGCTAAGCGTATTTTGAAAGATAAATAGGCGGAAAATATCGTACATTCCACCAAGGTCACCGTGAGATGGAATTAACCAAATGGATCCACTATTCCTTATTGTTCTCGCTCTCTTCCAATCCAGGTGGGAACGCCTTAGCCCAGCTAACTACGAGATTGCAATGAGAACCAACTCGACCAGCATTCTACGACATTCATAAAGAAGACGGAATCCTCAAGCAGTAGCTGAAACAACAGGTGAAATGTTCAGACCACTGTGGAACTGCGAGAAGAACGAATCGAATGCAAGAAGTGCTGAGATCCGCACAATAGATGTGATAACGGCTGATGTAAAAGAAAAAAATCCTTCCTTTTGAACTAAATTCATACTGACAATTATATTAAGAGTTTCAAGGACTTCACAAAACTCTGCTGCTGGAACAAAGCCTAAAGGATAAGGCGCTCGCCTTTGATCAATTTCAGGAGGATACGTCATGCATTTGGCTGCACTCGAAGCTTCGTAGAAGCGATATCCGGCGTATACAATGACTTGTAGTGACCTGGCGATCTGTCAGGTTAATGTTGTCACTCCTCTCCACCCCATCAGACAAGTCTGATACCATGCTACCAACATCGGATGTATGCAAGATTTGGTAAGCACGGGGTGTGGGATATAACCAAAGACCACGTGTATATTGCAGGACACCTCTAGCCACTGCGCTGCACACGTTCCAGAGCAATTGTCGACAAGTCGACCAATAAACATTATCTAGTAGAAAATAATATCCTCTATAGTAACTTTATTCTATATATCTTCTGATAGTGATTGACGTCTAGCCAGATGTGACGCAAAGAATTATCTGCAACAACGACAACAACGATAGCGGGTCACCCAACTATAATTAGCATCTATCAGCACAATAAGAGCAGTCACCAACGATAAACAGCATCTGCCCACAAATTGAGGTTGTCAAGAATAAAGGATACGTTGGTATAAACAATATCATATATTTTAAATACCAAGTGGAACACAATATTGTTTATGCATTTGCCACCATAATTGTGATATACGAGGGCGACGCAAGGGTCAACAACAGTACCCATCTGCCCGTTCCCTGAGGCGGTATAAAAGGACCGCGGTCTGCTGGTGAGGCCCACATGTCGAAGTTTCTCCCACTCGCCATTTCAGTTTCTGCCACATACCATCTTCGTTCACCTCTTGTCATAGAATTGCTTTACCGTACTTTATTGTAGAGAACCTCTCAAACAGTCACTGATCTTCCCTAGTATACATACTTATCATGACATTGTACGAGTTAAGCAACATCCTGTAGTTTTGTTGTATGTTAACATCTCATTGGCTTAAGCATTGTCTTTTTCTTCACATTTCTCACTATTAGTACGGTAGCTAATTACGGTATGCCATTCGCGCCAACAACCATCTGGTCCCATTGGTACCTGCGCTACTATACGCTCTTCACCTCTATAGGTCAAATTGTACTTTTATATGAAAGCTCTATCTCATATTAACACAATAGCCAATACAATTACTCTCCTACCTTAAGGTATCTTTTTACTTATTGCCTTACGCTTATTTGGTAATCCTATTGTCAACGCGCCACTTATACTGTTTTTAGTATCTTCTTTTCGTTATTATCATGATAATATTGGTATAAACGGTTTAATTACCCAAGTTTGAGATTTACGCTGTGAAGACAACAACCACAAGACCGGCGTGGCGAAGAACAAGCAAATACAATTCGTCCAAGCTAGCAGATCAACACCGTGTGGGGCTGCATTCAAAGGAGTAAGTCAACCGCCAAACTCTCACGTGGAGCCCAAGTCGTTGGTTCATTAGGCAATCATAACCTACAGATCAATTGTAGTACCATAGAACTACGATACCTATTTCTTGACTCTCAATTCACAGCGTCTCAGACGTCAAAGGGTAAATACCTATATTGCAGAGCCATCAAATAATAAGGATCACAAAACAGATTCACTTTCGAGAGTCAAGCAGAGACAACAACTAGTCGATAGTCCGTACACTATCTAATATTTACTACAACCTAATATTCTCACCATTGAACTACTACTACTAAGTAGTGAGCGGCTCAACGGTCACTACCATCGCAGTCGCGACTATACTATAGCAATGTTAAAAAATTGTGAACATTGAATGTAAAAATCAATTTGAAGGGATCCGTCGAAGTTCGTTTTTAGCAACAATGAGGACTATAATGAGCGGTTGCTATAATAAGGGCCCATATCGTAGAGGCAGCAAGACCGCCTCTCTGTTCTATTGTTTTAGATAAAAACAAGTGCAGATTTTGGAGAGTTAGACCATTTTTCGAAATAACAGCGGTAGAGATGCGTTAGATCAACAGCCACTTCTCTTAATAACTCGAAAGACCGACTTTCTATAAACCTCGGCATAGATAGTTGATATATTTATTTATGTGATCTTATAAACTGGTCTTCTTAAGCTGACGCGAGGTTGGTACAGATCTTCGTTATCGTTGTCGTTGTTTTTGACGTTATTGATCGATGGCTGACGTTTCGGCGACTTCGCTTTCCTCAGAGCCTGGGCGTATTTTATATTAGAATATTTTTATTATTCGGTGAAAAAGAAAGGTTAAAGTGTTAATGAAGATCAAACTTTCAGATAGACGCCATATTGAACAGAAAGGCCACTCACCGTGATGTTACGTACGGGACTGGCCCACACGTAGTTCACGTGGGGTCGCGAGCAAGACACACTCCGGGGTCAAAATATCATTTTGAAATAGGGCACCAGGTCACGCGTGATAGTGAGGCATTCGTCCTTCCGGTTCATCTTTCGATTTTTGAAATTTATTCAAAACGCCTCAAGAGTTTTGCGCGTTGATGTTTTTGATTCCTGCGCTAAGATCCGCACATTCACTTCAAAATCATCGCCGTTGTGCTTTTGTGCCCTATGCGTACCTAGAGAGGTGTTTAAACGGATTTTAGCTTTTCCATCTAGATGTTCTTTTATGCGGACACAAAGTGGTCTACCCGTTTCCTCGATATATTCCTCGCCGCATGCATTACATGAGATCAAGTATATTATACCTAAACTGATGCAATCCCCGTCTCTCCCGTTAGGACAGATCGTACAGTTTTCTGAGCTGCACAAACGATCATAGAGACGGTTTCGAACTAATTGACTGCGTAGGGTGTTGGGTGGGATGTCAATAATCGTTACATAATTTTCAAGACCACTTTTTCTTAAGCACTTTTTAATGGCGTGACTTATTTCATTTGATATGAAGGGCAGCTTAAGGGGGATCTTACTTTCGTCTGAAATATTATTTCGGGAAACTACCCAACGTTTTCCTCTAACCCGAGTGGCTTCTACTTCGTAGCCATTGGAAATAGCAATTTTTCGTGCCAGGTTTTGCGATTCCTTCCTTTCCTCTTCTCCTGTACACACATTTTTAGCCGTACGGTACATGTTTTTGATAAGTGCTTTTTTCATGTGTGAAGGATGAGAGGAGGGGCAGTGAACTAGA